AAATAAAGGAATTCCCTCCTCTCCTCTTCACACCCCCTTCTCTCCCAAACCAAACATACCCTTAATGCTTGCAACCTTGTAGCTATCATGTATTAGGTTAACGTATTTGTTTTGAATAATGGAAGGTGCTTCTGCAATTGAAGAAAATCAACCTTTTTAACTAACAATATTATTATACTGATATGCAGGAATCTCCTCAAGCAGCTAGGGTTAAAGTATTGGCAAGTGGAAATGCAACAGAGAGGAGGTTCAGGTTGGTAACATGTTGTGACTAAGTGTGATTAAATGATTTTTACTTAGGATTCCACTAGCAACCAGTGGGGCCTCTTCTCTCCTTGCAGGTTCTCAGTAGCTTGACTTGGATTAATAGGTCATTTGAAGGAGATATTGATTGTTAAACCAGTGTTTCTAATATAGGATAAGACTTATGTCAAGAACTTATTGTGTGCTTTAAGCTTTGTAGAGTGGCAAATAGATAAAATGAATTTAAAGAAAGAACACCTAAAAAGGAACTTTGAAAATTGGAGATTAATTGAAGAAAGCGGGGGAATACAGACACCTGTTGATATTGAAGATCTGGTGCCTAGTAGATGGTTGTATAGCCCATAATTATGACTTCTTGTTCATTCTCTGTTTTCACCTCACTAACTGCTGGTAATTTGAATGAGAAACAGTGTTTGGATAGGAGGGAGTATACTGGCATCGCTTGGTTCGTTCCAGCAAATGTGGTTCTCCAAGTCTGAGTAAGTATCATTTGATCAGATTCAGATATCTTTTACTGCTGCTGCATTTTGCAAATGTCAAAGATATATCCTTAAGTTCAGCATTTTCTTTTTAAATTTCAATCTGTAAACCTTTCAAAACCATTGCCAAGTAAAATATACTAATTTTTCTACAAATTACTTCATTATAAACTGACAGGTATGACGAGCATGGGGCGTCATATATACAAAGAAAATGTCCTTAGGATGCAAGGGATGTTGTGTTGCATCTATTGCCATGGTAGATTAATGGTTAGGTTCTTTGAATGTTCTAAACTTTCCTTAGTTTTTTGCCTAGCCAGTAATAATCTCGTGTGTAGTTATAGGTATACAATCACCTTTGGTTTCTTTGTGTGCTTCTCATTCTAATTACTTTCAGATTGATATATGTAGCTTCTGTACTAAATATTGGTCTCCTGTACACAAGACAACGCATTAACTTACACATGTACCTTTCCAGTCACATATATCACTGCTGGTTTCTTTTCATGTACCTTATACTATCCATCATTATTTTCTCAATTATTGTTATCCATATCAACCTAATATATAAATGTGCAGTAAGTTAGCAATAATGCAAATTGAATGAACAGATATACACCATTCTTTGTTCTACTTGTGTTGCAAGATTTACAGTGTTAGTGTGCAAGGAAAATGTTGATGGCTTGATGAAGAGCTTTTCTGCGCTTTTCTTCTGGTTGCTGCATATCATTTTTACTTTGAGAAGAATGTTTATTTGAGAAGGAAGTTTGCACATGCAATGCACATGGTGAAGAATAAGATACTTATCTTGTCAAAGTGTATTTTACCAAGCAAGCATTAGGAGAAGCACAACACATGGAAGCACTTAAAAAGTCTCACACCCAAAAGCCACAATGACTTGGGATATTAATATATCCCCAAAGATTAGAAAAAGACTACGCAAACCCAAACAAAAAAGACAGATGGTATGTGGGCCTGGTCCTACTGAGGCATACAGCCTGTTAAAAGGAATGCCCCAAATAATAATGCAAAGTGTGATCGTCACATGGAATGAAAAAGCAAACTGACAACCAACACATGACATTGCCTCACATTAGCACATGCAATCTGTTTCCTCCTCCACAGCACCATCTCCTCTCTAATCAACTTCAACACACTCAAATCACTGCTATCATTAAAACCCGAGTCACGAAAGCCCTTTATCTTTTATCAATTTTTTTTTTATCGAGTTTTTCTTTCTTTCCCCTACCTATATATTATACAAAGCCATGGAAAGTAAAAGCATTAATTAGCTAGAAAATGATCTCATATATATGCACTTTTGGTCTGTTATTTTGTTCCTTGAAGGTCAAATCATTCTATAGTTAAGCTCCTGCTTGGTTATGGCTGGCTAGTAAGGTGCACTGGAGGTGCCTGTGGCACGTGGGGAGGTGCCTGTGGCACGTGGTGAGGTGGTCGTTGGTTAGACCGGCGGCTTGCATGAAGGAATGGACCACGGTTGGTCCAACAAACCGGAATCCCCTCCTCACCATGTCCTTGCTTATGGACTCTGATTTTGAGGTCTTGACTGGGATCTTGTGGCCAAATTTGTATTGGGTAGAGATTGGCTTGTGATTCACAAACCCCCAAATGTACCTCTCAAATGACCCCAATTCCTCCTTAACCTGCCAGGGCCAACACAAATTCAGCACCTATATATAAAGTAGGAATAGAAAAATAGCACTTTTTTTGTAATAACATAGAATTAGAAACTTTGTGAAGAGACTGGGATAAGGAACATTATGCCCCACATTACTTTCTTTTTTTCTCAAAGAAGGTTGTCAAGTCTTATGGTTTTGATAGTGATAAACAGCTAACTAATCAGCTGCACACAATCAAGTTTCGAGTCTCGGAAATTGAAAGGAACAAAAGGCAATGAAAGGTACTGAAGTAGATTTTTTTTTTGAGCCAAATATTGAAGTAGTTCTAATAATTTAATAAAACTTAATTTGTTGTATAACTCACAATTACATGTGTTGAAAAAAGCTTAATTTACCTTGAGGATTCGGTTAGAGTTGTCGACAACACCCCGGACTCGGCTTATTTCAATCCCATAATCTGAGCTAATTGCCATCATCTGTTTATCTGTGAAATTGGCTACAGCTTTTGCATCAAACCCTGAAAAAGCATCCCTGAAGAAGAATGGTAGAGAAACAAATTAAACCTTGTTGGACCTATATATCTTTAATCTTTATGATAAATGGAATATTAATTCTTAGAGTTTAACCCACCTGAAATCTTGTCTTTTCTTCAAGATTGAAGTCCAATCTGATCCAACTTGAGCACCACTTAAAACTAGCAACTCAAACAGCATCCTGGATATCAAATGTAATTAAATTTAAGATTAAACTCCTTATATACAAAATATGAAAGCATAGAATTACCCTCAAGGGGTGTTTTAACATATAAGAGCTCAAGACTCAAAATTGAAGGTTTCAAGTTCATATCTTGAGATGGTTGAGAAGTAATTTTGGAAAGGATAAAGTTATTCATAATGTATAACCCATCACTATTAAAATGAAAATGAAGACCTAAAAAGAGAAAACGATTGAAATTAATTCATTACTTGTCATCATGGACCGGAACCCCCCATTCCTCATCATGATAAGCAACATAAATAGGATCTGTAGAAAACAAATAGCCTAATTGTTAATACCATGATGGTGAAAAGCAACATGACCACATTCAAACAATCTTCTTTTTTTGCAATACCTGAATTGGGTGTGATAAAGCTGCACCTCTTCTTCTCCTCAATTGACTCTGTTTCTGGTAAAGTTGAGGTCTCTAGAGGAACAATCTTCACTTCAAACTTGGCAGACTTTGATCTTCCATAATGTGCAATTCTCAACTTTCTTTCAGCCTGTTGAAGTGCCATTTGTTCCCTCCTCACCGCGGCTATACTACCTGGAGCCTCTAGGATCAAAGAAGAAGGATAGCTCAATGATGCCTCACCTTCCCTGAAACTTTTTGATTTCTTCCTGTCCAAGGTCTTCGGGACACTATTTGTAGGACTGACAACCTTCTCGGAACTAGAATTGAGCCCATTGATGTCACTCCCCCGCTTGATAGCAGGTGGCCTGGGGGACTTAGACTTGGGTGATATAGGAGGTGTTGTCAAGGAGGCCTTTGGTGGTGATGGTAGTGGAGGAGGAGATGGTGGAGGTGACTTTGGTGACACTTTTTTGAGTGAATTGCGGCGGTCTAGGCTAGGAACACGGTTACAAGTAGGTTGAAGAACAGGGCGGCCATTGATCTTGGCCACCGCAGGGGTGATTTCCAACCCTAAGGTCACCTTAGCCTTGGACATAATTTTAGCTTATGGGTGGAAAATGCAAAAGAATGATCAGACCTGGAGAAAGCTAAGGCTATGGAAGATTGTTAAGGCAAGAGTGGACGGAAGTGGGGGTTTTATAAAAGGGTTATGTGGGGACAGAATGCAACATGGGAGGGTTGGGGTCTGCCATACAGCCTCTTGTGGAAGGTATTATTTTATTTTATTTTATTTTATTTGCTAACAAACCACGAGGGGTCGCACAATTGGCACTCTTTTAATTTCAACTGATTAAATAATATGATATATTTATGGCTCAAGTGGTTATAATGTGTAATTTGAATTATAATGAGAGAATTAATGCGGGTTGGAATCTTTTTTTTTTTTTTTAACGTTATTTAGCTGTAAATAGTTATTTTTGACGATGGAATTTTACTAAATACTTGTTGTGTATGAAGGTAGTTTAAAGAAAATGGTTGTTTGATAGAGAGGGGAATTTTTGGAATAAGATAAAGAATGACATGTTTTGCCCATATCATAAACTTCTTTTCCAATTGTGATGAAACCATACCCGGGAATTGAGATGGAGTGGTGGATAAGGAAGGTAACAATGCTAGAAAAAGAAGACCAATGATTGTTGCAATCTTTCTAGCTGGAGGAATCTCCCTCTGTATTTAGCTAGGGAGTCGGTTTGGAAAGGGAGAATGGCAACATGGGAGAGATCTTTTGGTAGGCACAAAACCGATGTCATATAATTCTTTTTGGTTGTGTTAGATGTTGTAACCACCCCAAGAAATGAGAACGCAAACTCATACACATTAAGATCAAGATCTTGCTAAGTCAAGTAATGTTAATTGATTTGTAATAAACTGAGATATTAAAGTTGTTGAATGTGAATATAAAGTGGTTTAAGTGAGTTGAGAGCCTCAAAAAACAAATAAACACTTATGCAATGACCTTTTCATCTTGGGTTTAATGAATACTAATTCACCATAAACATGTGGCTCTTCATAAAAGGAAAAAAAAAAAGAGATTATTTTATGCATATAGTTAATCTTTAGGAAAATTCTTGAAAGTCATAGCATAGAATCATCAATCACTTAATTAAGCTTTCAAATTAGTAATCATGCATTTGTTATTCACAAGACATACGTATGTCAGGAGTCATGCCTTAGGAGTTACGCGGTCATTAATAAGTTGAATAATTGGAGAAATATTGAAGATTGGATGATTTCTTGCATGCAACATTTTGTTATAATTTGATAGCTTGTGTTAGGTTTTATATGAATGAAGTAAGAAACTAGTTTGAGGCTAGGGA